ATTGACGTGTTTCAGAAAGGCGGGGCATAGAGGAGAAACAATAATGTACAGTATGTGGAAAATAACGTGTTTTTTTAACCTTAAACCACATAAACACATTTCATTACACCAAATATGCAAAATAATGTTCTTTTTTAGCAACATCATATGACCCCTTTAATTGGGTCATTCCATGTCAACCAGAGGACCCTGGCTTAAATTTTCGATTTTGTTAATATTTTTTTTTCTGAAGAAAGGTAAACATGTAGAGATAAAAGCCAAAATATTAAATGCCATGGATGAATAGTTATTGTGTAATCCATTATTTTGTAGAGGGGGTCAGAATGGCTATTTTCACCTGAGATTCAGAGCCAAATTACAGGGGGTTAAAAATGACTTCAGAAAGAAGACGGTATCATGATGTTATTTTTTCACATAGAGACTGGTATGTCTGTTAGTAAAATCTGTTGGCTTCAGCAATCTTTGTTGTATTATATGCCAATGGTGACCATTCAAACATGGGGAATATTATATAATATTCAACAATCTGAAAATGGAGCCTCATTGAGATCCCCATATCTCTGGGACTGAACAATGTAGGGTCTTGAAAATTAAGATTCCCAAAGAAAAGTTTATTAAGAACTAAAATCGAAAATCATATTGCGATATCTTTAATAATTCTTGAGTTGTAGGCACACAAACTTTGAAAAAATAATATTTATGGCACACAGGTCTGTTCAGTGCAACTGTTTTGACAAAAGGAAACGAGATACATCTCTAGTTTCAACATTATTTGATCTTCAGACATTCTTTAAAAGAAAAGTATCATATTTTTGCAACGTGACCCACATTTGGTTTTCGACCACTGAAAATGTGTACATTTTAACAATTTACTCCTGGAGCCATATTGATAATCCAATATCTCTGGAACCAAACCATACAGGGCCTTAAAAATGAAGATGCCCAAAGGAAAGTTTCTTAAAGGTGCAATTGTCTTCAGAAACTTTTTTTGTTATGCTGGTTGAAAGTCTCTTCGTATCCCGATATCAATCATTAAGTTAAGTGGTCTAAATGTATTTAAATATTCTGTGGAAGGCGTAGGACCAAGAAATGTTCATCCAATCAAAATGCTCGGAACAAGACTTTCCTACCTGCCTGTCAACATATTAGGGGTGGAACGGTTCAACTTACTCACGGTTCGGTTTGTATCACGGTTTTGGAGTCACGGTTTCTGTACGGTTCGGTATGTGCTATGTTTAGGGGAAACTATACTGTCAAATAAAAATAAAGAAAATAAGAATAATCTAACTACAAGCAATAGCACAAATAAATACAATAGAGTAAAGATACAAATAAAATAAACAGTGATTTTCAGTTTTTTTTTTAGGTAGGTCTAACATTAGTTTTTAGGTACAGAAATTGAATAAAGTAATGAAATGTAAAACAGCATTGCATATTTCACTGTATGATTGAATTCTTTGTTGTTGCTGTTTGATTAATAGTGCTGTCACTTTAAGAGAATGCACTGATACACTACGTTCAGCCGGCTATGTCTGCTATAGGATACTTACAAAGACGGGCATTTTGACATAATTTTTGTGTGAATTTGTCCATTTAAACACAATACTTTAGAGAGAGCTTAATATTTGCGCGTGTTCTGAGGCGCGGGTTTGCGCGCTTCGAATGAGCGCACGCACAAATCTTCTCACTGCGC